CCCCAAAACCCCAAAACCCCAAAACCCCTCAAGGCAATATAAGTATCAAAGTGATAAATTTAGATTAAATTTTTTAAATACTCTTAATAAATTCAAAATGGTAAAACATTTGACACCTGAATTAGTGCAGACTAAGTGCCAAACCAGTAATCTCAACGCAATTAAAAACCTTAATTTTTATGGAGCCGATCTCAACGATGTATCATTACTTAAGGATATGCCAAACATCGAGATATGCTCGCTCTCATTAAATAAGATTACCACTTTGAAAGATTTTGCAACTCTAAAAAAGATGAGTGAACTATATTTGAGGAAAAATATTATATAGGAGCTGTCCGAGGTTAAATATCTTTCCCAATGTAATAATTTGAGAGTGCTTTGGTTATCTGAGAATCCAATTGCCCAACATGCTCTATATAGAAAGTTTGTGATCAAATGCGTTCCCAATCTTACCAAGCTGGACGACTCAAATATCACTCCAGAAGAGAGATAAGAAGCAATGAAATTCAAAATAACAGATACCGACATTGCGACAAATAGCTCTTAGATTCAAACTAATGTACTTAATTATTGTGAATAATAAATGTATAGGATAATGATTACTATTAGAGACAACAGAATTCAGTTTCACCGCAAGATAGACCAAGGACAACACAACAAAATAGAGGAAGGAGCCCAGCTACTAACCTTGGAAATTTGAATACAAATCCTTCCTAATAGATTACCCAACTATAACAAAATCAAGTGTAACCATAGATCATAAATTCTAGCACTCCAAATGGATCGCAATCGAACGGAAATACTACTAATTATAGAAATGAAAATATTTTGTGTGCAGTATTAGCTCTTTTAAAGGAGTTAGATGAAAATGGATTGGAATTAGTAAAGCGAGACATTGAGAGAAAGATTTAACAGAAAAAATAGTGATTGAAACGATATCATCTGTATCATCTATGATGATTTATTGCAAATTGAATAGAGTAGTAACATTCTTTTAAGGAATTCTATCTCATTTAAATTTATATCTTTACATGCTATTAAATACTCTTGAAACTTTAGAAATTTGCATGACGGGGTTTTGGGGTTTTGGGG